GATGTTACCCCCACGTTGCCCTGGGACATTGATTATAGCCCTGTGGCCAATGATATTTCTGCCTCTCCTTCTTGTTTTTGTGAGGTTGAACCCTGCCTCATCAATATATATGAATTCATGCAGGATTTCCTCAGCATCCATCTGCAAAACTCTCTGAAATACAGTGAAAGACAACATTGTGTAGTTCAGGATAGGTCTAGTATATTACAGTCAATGTAAAAAAGTAATGTGTGGAGTATGCAACATCACAGTGCTAAAGTGAACAATACAAACCTCCACATACTCATGCCGCAGCCGTTTGACCCTCTCTGAATTCCGCTCAAAAGGCACTCGATAAAGTTGTTTCATTTGAACCTGATGTCTTTTCAGGATGCGTGCCAGTGTTGACTGAGAGACCTGATGGACATTATTGAAAATGGCATGGTCACCGATAATGTTTGCTTGTAGTTCTCTGAGCCTGATAGCATTATTGGCCAAAACCATGTTTACAGTTTTTTCCAATTGCTAACACACAATTTTTCAATCTAGTCTGGTTTTATCAAAAAACTTAACACAATTCACAAAACCACACACCCAAACTGCAAAATACCTCATATATCCTGCAAAATGAAGCACTGCAACCGAAACTACACATAACATTATCAAAAGCAACCTTTTGCATGAAATGGCACACACTTCATTCATATTACCAGATTTTTGCCTAACCAACTACACACTGTTGGGCATAATGAAAAGCACCCCCATCTTTAGTATGCTTTGCCATAATACTAAAATATGTATCAGATTGTTCACATGCACAGAAATATTTGCAGATACACACACACATGCTGTTGCAACATTTATTTATTTGTTTTCACTACAGTCAACAAGTCAGTGCAACATATGCACAGCAGATATATTTACATGGGACTGAACAAAAATATTCTTACAAAAAACAGTAAACTGAAAAAGAAAATTTCAGAAAAAATATATTACAGTAAAACAAAGAGGCAAGAAAAATAATTAGGCAGCATCTTGCCGCACAGCCGGGTCTGGCCACAACGCCTCGTCAACATCACAGGCAATATCTTCCCTTGCCAGACATCGAGGGAAGAAGCGCCTTGAGTGCCTTATCCATCCCTGAATTGCACCCACATCAATCTCATCACATGCCTCTTCCATGGCCTGCACAAGAGGCATGCGCACAAAGGGCTGCCGGTCGTATACCTTCCACCGCCATGCCGAAAAGAACTCTTCTATGGGGTTCAGAAATGGTGAGTATGGTGGGAGGTATTGCACAAGAAATGTTGGGTGGTCAGCAAACCAGTTTTGGACTGGGGCTGCACGATGAAAGCTCACGTTGTCCCATACTACAACGTACCGGTTTCTTTGATGGTCTGCATCATTCATACGCTCTGGTGGTATGAGAATGTTTTGAAGTCTGTCCAGAAATGTGAGAATATGGGCTGTGTTGTATGGTCCAAGGTTGGCATGACGGTGGAGGACACCATGCATACTGGAGATGGCAGCGCACATTGTGATGTTCCCACCACGTTGGCCAGGAACATCTATAATGGCTCTGTGGCCAATGACGTTTCTCCCCCTTCTTCTGGTCTTTGCTAGGTTGAACCCAGCCTCATCTATAAAGATGAACTCATGTGGGATTGCATGAGCATCCATTTCCAGTACTCCCTGAAAACAAAGAACAAAAATCAGTCAATATGGTGTTATCCAGTACACTGGGAAACAATGTTGCGTGTAGTGTACTGCAGTCAATATAGTACTTACATCCACATATGCTCGTCTGAACTCTTTGTTTCTTTGAGAGTTTCTCTCAAACGGCACCTTATAAAGTTGTTTCATTCTGATTTGGTTTCGCTTGAATGCGAGCCAATGTGGACAGACTGACTCGTTGAATGTTGTTGAATAAGGTGTTGTCTTGGATGATGTGGCTTTGAATTTCTCGTAATCTGATTTCATTATTTTCCAAAACCAAGTTTACAATGGCAGCTTCCTGTACCCCGGTGAACATTTGGCCCCTTCCTCCACCATGGTGTCGTCTCTCAGTCCTTCAGAAAAAATAAAATAAAAATATATATAGGGCTTGGACAATGCAGCCTAAATATTTTCCCCCACAGTAGAGTACATTGTACAGGAAACTTGTACAGTTCATGAATGGCTGATGTCATACACTATGTAAACAGGTGTCACCCAACAGATACACTATGACATGGGGTATACTACATGTGTACTACATGAAATTTTGGTTACATACCTGTTCTCCAGTCTAAAGGTCCGGATGACAGAGGCGACAGTAAAACGGCTCAAGTTTGGCTGCACTCGCTGTCCAGCCTCACGCATTGTCAGCCCATGGTTGATGACATGATCTACTAAGGTTGCTCTGATTTCATTTGAAAGTGTTTGTCTTCTTTGGCCATGAACTCCTCTACCTGCTCTACCCCTACCTCTCACTCTTCCTCCCCCTCTTATTCTCAACCTCCCTCTTCCTCTTCCTCTCTCTGCAATGTCTTCCATTGTGGTTGTAAAAAAAAGGTTCTCACCTGTGGTCTTTTCACAGTGCTTACCTCCTGATTGAAGTGTTAACAATTAACCATTGAGGTGTTTGGCCAGGTGGCACATGTAATTGGCCAAGTAGCTCATGTAGTGTCATTTTGAATGGCAGTGTTTTGAAATGGCAAACATGTGACTTTATGTCAGATTGTTGTGTCTTATGCAGAGAACTGTGTTCAGTGCATTTAAAAAGTGCCATTTTGAAATGCAAAATGTGTGTAAAGCAGAAAATGTGTTTAGACTTTTGGAGACTTGAGAAGAAGTTTTGCTCTCTGTGTGTCAGTTTAAATAATTGTGCTGTGCATGTCATTTTAGTGTGTTAGCAATTTGAAAAAACTGTAAACACATTTCTTGGAATTGTGACTCCTTTTCTTGAAACTCTAAACACAAATCCATAACTTCTTACCCAATTCCCCATACTTCCTATTTTCAGGTCAAAATGAAGCTCTCCACTCAAAACTATACAATTTTGCTGAAAAAAACAAACAAACTTTGCCCTCAGACATGACACACAAACCCTCAGAAACACACACACAACAACATAGTCTTACACACTAGTGAGATCAATTCATAACACTGTTGCAAAAACCTTCTTTTGGCAATCAGGTATCATTTTACAGCTCAATGTCTATTACAGTATACAACATAATTAGAGCAGATACATGTTACAGTAAATATAGCAGATACAGTGAAATTCAACAATAAGCTTTACAGTAAGAAAATATTATTTTCATTACACTGCTGTAAAGAGATCTTACAGTACAATAGATGAAAAGCACTAGAAAGGAAAACGTCAAATACCAAAGAATTGCATATGAACACACAACAGAATATAAAGTCATCTCTTAGTTCTGCAAAAATACAATACATGTAAGAAGTACTTTTACAACAAATCAGTTCAGCAGTTATGAGTTTGAGGGTGTACAACTTGTGCTTCAGTATTTACTGTACATATATATAAAAAGTAAAAGTTCTCTCATCTGAAGTACTGCTACTGCTCTGTCATTATATTTTATCTGTAAGTAGTATTGAACGCCTGTAGATGAGCCTGTAGGCCAGCTGTCCTCGTGCACAAGAACATGATCAACTACAGCGCTGTGTATTTCATCAGGAATAAATGTCCTTTGACTCCGTCCCCTTCATTCCCCCCACCCCCCCTTCCTCTTTGTCTCCCACTAGTAGGATTAATTTTCCAAATCACATAATCACCTGTGCTACTTTTTATATCATCCTGAGATTCTGACCTGTCTGTCATCAGTTTTTCTACTTAATGTTTACACTTGGAAAAATGTGTGCTATTTGTGTTAATTTTGTGATTCTTGAGGTAGTTATATTGTGTGTTTGTGTTTTCTAAATGAGGACACGGTTAAACCTGTGCAAAATGATGCCGTTCTTGTGTAGAGTTTTGCAGAAAACACTGAGCAAATTGGAGCGTGTGTGAAAAAAGGTGAAATGTGTTAAAAGTTTTGAGAAACGTGTCTTTGTTTCAAGAACTGTATGACTGCTTTGGAAAATTGTGCCAAACGAATCAGTTATAGTGTGTTAGCAATCAAGAAAAACTGTAAATTCATTCATTCATTCATTTATTCATTCATTCATTCAGCATCCTCTGCCAATTTGCATTACAGTATTGGTAGTATCCTTAGTTGCTATAGCAGTTTCTTAGTCTTCGGACAAAAGACTTATCTGCCTCCCTTAGACAGTCGTCTCTCAGTTCTGCACAAATACAGTACATACTTGGCTACAAATCAATTCAACAGCAATGAGTTTCAGGGTGTACAACATATGTACTACAGCATTTACTGTAAATAGAATAATGAAAGTTCTCTCATCTGAAGTACTGCTATTACTGTAATTATATTGTATGTGTGAGTAGTATTGAAACCTTGTAGATGAGCCTGAAGGCCAACTTCCCTCATGGTCAGTCTATGCAGAAGAACATGGTCAACTATAGTGCTTTGTATTTCATCAGGAACTAATGACTTTTGACCTTGTCCCCTTCATTTTTATTTTCCCCTCCTATTCATCTTTGTTTCCCACTACCAGGATTCATTTTCCAAAAACACATAATCAGCTGTGCTCTTGTTCATATCATCCTGAGATTCTGACTGGTGTGTCATCAGTTTTGCTACTTAATGTTCACACATTGATAAATGTGTGCTGTTTGAGTTAATTTTTTGATGCTTGAGTCAATTATATTGTGTGTTTGTGTTTTCTGAATGAGAACATTGTTAAACCTGTGCAAAATGATGGCGTTTTTGTGTAGAGTTTTGCAGAAAACAATTTTTTTGAGAACTGTGTCTTTGTTTCGAGAACTGTATGAATGGTTTGGAAAATTGGGCCAAATAAATCAGTTACAGTGTGTTAGCAATCGAGAAAAACTGTATTATTTTTGGACTTTGGTGGTGAATATAACATGTTTGTTTGTACTCTGTGTACTCTGTGGAATAACAAATCATTTACCTTAAAAATTATTCTCACATTGGTTAATCACAGTCATTCTCGTCATTCTCATAACATCCAGATTATGATGATACTATACATTATATATTTCCTATTATTCCTTTTATGCATTTCCTTTTCAGCATTGTATATTTATGTAATTGCTAATTGTTTTATGCATGTTTACACATTTTAACTGCAAAACAACGGATATGCCAAAATACCTTGTAATACACAGCATCCCTTAATG